ATTAGTTTGATTTTTCCCCATTTCAAAGAGGAAAATACAATACGCTTTCCCCCGTATTCATTCATTTCCACTTTCATTTATTCAAAAAGTTTCTTTTAATTAGCTGCTTTTTTTTTCCTCAAAGAGTGAATAACTTTTATATTCCTCTAAAGAGGGTCCTGCTGTTAATTTTTCTTTTCCTTTTTCTATTTTCTTTCTTTTTTCTTTTTTTTGTTTGTTTTTTTTTCTTTTTTGGTTGAATTAACTTTTGTTTCCAGTTGGAGGAACTCCCCAGCGGCACTTGCGAATGGTTAACAATTGCCCTATAACATCATTTTGGAGCACATTTTTGGGGGGATTTCCCGAGTTGATTAAATAAATGCCTGGACTCCAGGTCCACTCCACTTCACTTCCCTTGGTGGCTGGTCAGCATTCGTTGTCCCTTCGCATTGGTGGGGGGTCACTACTGCAGCCTTGACAGAATTTTTCGCTTTAGTTTCACAAATGGCAAATAAAAAATTTAAACTTTCTCGCTGGACCCACGGTGTCCGCATGCCCTTGGGCTTATTATGTCCTTGCCTCGTTTTTCGGCATTGCCCCATGCAAATTGCCACGCAAATACGGCACAACGAAAGACATGGCAACATGGCAGTATGGCAGCATGGCTGGCTGGCTGGCTGGCTGGCTGCCACCATCCAATTTCTGTCTCTGGAGTTTAACCTCTTGGCAGTTGGAATATTTTTGGCCGTTCCCATGTGTCGCCAATGTGGCTTTTATGGTTATAGTCGCGCATGCCGCGGCACACACCCCTCGAACCCACTCCAATCCAACATCCAATGTACTACTACCCATCCAAATTCGTTGTCATGGCTCGGTGTCATTGTTGCCTTTGATTTCAACGTGCGATGGGGCCGGGGGTCGGGTTGGGTTCGGACTTTGCGTTGCGGCGGTTATTTGAATTCTTTTTCACAACATTCTCCTTTCTTTTGTGGCACAAGCAATTTACATCCTGTGAAGAGGATGATATTTTCTAATATATGGGGAAAAACAGGAAAATATTATTATATTGTTGGAGAAACTTGAAAGGAATGAACTTGCGACTTTCAATGGGTGAAAAAGCAACAAAAGTTGATAGAGTCTATCCTTGTCTCCCAGACTGGTATCCCTTAGCCTGTAGAGGGCATATTCACTGTAGAAATTCCCCATAGGCGATGGGCTATAAGAGAACTCTCCCAGCCTTTATATAGTTTATATTCAATCACAAGATGGGTTTTCCATTTGAGTCCACAGCGTTTAAATGTTTCCTATAAATTTGCATGCAACTTGCGAGTATTTCGTGGAAAAATCACTAGGAAGAACTTTTAGTCATTTGTGCAACAACGAGACCCATTTTAAGTGTGATAGTATATGTATGTACAGATGTGTGTATGGTAGTACCAAGAGACAGTTATACATACTACATATATACACATACAGAGTACAGTATATGACAACACTTTATAAAACTTTGCCACCGCATGCGGGGCAAGTGAATGGTGGGGGGGAGTAGTAGTGAGTGCTTCGAGTGTTCTCTGAGTGCATTCACAGTTCACTTTAATTGAAATTGCGAGCCGAGCAAAGGCGACGGCCCGGAAGAGAAGTGGAGAGCGGAGAGTGGAGAGGAGAGGGGTGGCAGTGTGGTGTTTGGCAAATGGAGGGGATGATGACAACGATGTGCCATGCCAGGCCAGGCGCATTTATTATAATCTGTTGCATTAATATTTGCCGACAATTTGTCGTCTGGTCTGTCACTCCTATCCCATGCTCTTCTTCTCTCTCTCTCTCTCTCTCTCTCTGTTAGTGTTGCTGTCTCTGTTGCTATCTTTATCTATATCACCATCTCTGGCTCTGGCTCTTCTGCAGTGTCATAAAAATGAAATTAAAAATGCCAGAGAAGAACTCTCGGGGCCAACCAGCAACAGCAGCCAGCAATAGTTGCAATTCGCACATTTTCTTGTTTTTATTGTGAAAAGACAGCAGTGGACAGCCAAATAAAATCAAGCGACTTGGTAAACCAAAGCTATAGATACCCTGGCAGATCCCTTTTTACTGCTCCACTTTGTAGAATCAAGTCTCTCTCTCTCTCTCTCTCTCTCACACGCTCTCCTTCTCTTCGTTAGACATGATCTCTGTATTGGTTTATAGTCATTAAATTTATCTGAGCCATGTAGAAACATTTAATATTACTGGCTATTGAGTTTCATTGGAATATCTTCACAGAAAGATCTGTCTAACGATAGATAAGATGACATCTCGTAGTGTGGCTTGAATATTTTTTGCAAAATTATTATATATATTTTAGCGTCTCTCCTTATGTACGAAACACACACACAGACATCCCATATGCTTAATCATAATAACCCGACTGCAGAGTGTATTAAAAAGAAATGCCCACACATTAATTTAGTGGGGAGGGGGGGTTGAAGTAGCCGCCACATTGCCACAGTCATGTGGTTTTTTATCCCTGCCCCTGCCACAAAAGCTAACGAAAATCCAGGCCAAATGGTTGAATTTTCACTGACATTCAAACCAGTGTTGGCTTTTAAAGTTCAGGGGCTTTCAATTTTCGAGTATTTCGAGCCTAAAATGGCTGAGGCCACTAATTGCATTTGCCATGGCACCCCGTTTCGGTCCGGTTACGCCTCATGCCACGAGCCTATTTGTGGGTGGGTTGGGAAAGAGCTTTGGCTAGTATTTTGTGGGTTTTTAGGGGGGACCATCAACCAGCATCCTACCCGCCTGCACCTGTCATTAGGGCATCAGACAGGCAAAAAAAAGATTCAAACCAAACAGGGCAAAACCCATAATAAACCAATCACCTGCTGCTAATGTCCCCGGAGAGTGGAGCGAAGAGGATAGGACTGGAGAGAAGAGGTCTGGTTTTTGAGTGGGGTTTTTGTGGCTCTTTCATTGGAGCCGAGTTTAAGCCACACAAACATCGAATCGGTATGCAGGCAACGACCCATCGTCCTGTCCTGCCACAGAGCATGGGAAATGCAATCAGACAGATGATGGAATAATGGTCACTCCTCAGAGTGATATGGGAAAACGGCAGGAAGTGCAGGGGCGACAGGGCAGGCAGGCAGCCGGACCGAGAGAGTCGAGAACATGCAACGTGCGCATCCTAATTGGCAATAGATTCAATCGATTTTCAATAGCCCAATAATAACCATTTAAGAGGGCCAAAATGTATGCAAAAGTCTTTTGACCAAAAGATGATTTGATATCAATACTAACAATTAGCATAATGGTTTAGCAAAGCCATAATTGAATTCAAATAATCATCAATCATATTTGCTATGGAAATTTCCTTGGCGGACGGACTGTACATACTTTTCAATTATTTATACATTTTCTTTATGCAAATCGAATGAATTTCCCAATCAATGTTTCATTATTTTCTGTAATTTATTCAGCATTGATGCGAATTTCATTCCCAACCCACAACCACAGATTTTCCATTGATTTTTCGCTAATGCGGAAAGGCCGCTAAAAACATGCGAATGCGGATTCGGATGGAGCCTCGCAAATAGTGGTCTCTTTTTTTTCACCCAATTTAAAATTCTACTCAGCCTCTCACTCACCCCTCTCTCTCTGTCACCGTGCCTGACTCTTTGGTAATATTTTCAAAAAATATTCCAATGTTTATGCAGTTGCTGGCCCCCTGCCCCGAAAAACTCCTGTGGTACGTGGCAGTACGTGCCCACAATTAAACATTAAACATCAACCCGAAAGAACAACTGTACAGAATGTCAGCCAACTGTCGGCCAAGTTGAAGTACGTGACTTTGGTACATTGCATCATTAGAGCCCCCGGGAGTCTGGTTGCCGGAGGGGTTCGCTGGGGGTCCGTTAAACAATAAAAAACTAATTTAAATTTGCTTAGAGCATAAATACGAAGGTGTTGGAAAACTTTTTCGGGTGGGGGGGTTGCAGAGCCAACAACTTTCCCAAAACAAACAAAAATCATCATCAAATGTTGACACAGCAGTAGCAGAAGCAACAGCAGCAGCCGGTGGCAAGTGGCAAGCGGTAGTGGGCTTCTTTTGGGCCCAGTAGCATTGCATAAAAGCCATGGCCAAGTGCCAGAGAAGCCACACAACGAACCAAGCATCCACAGCATGTCTCTCAAGTGGATCACACTGTGTGCCCTGGTGGCACTACTCAGCATTGGCACCGGCAGCTGGGCCAAACCATCTGCCAGACAGAGGCACAGAACCATTCAGGCGCGGCCCAGCAAGGAGCAGGTTCCACAGAATTTACTGTACTATGCCGATGCCATCGATGATGATGATGATCAGGATCAGGATCTGGATGATATCCGCGAGCATGAAGAGGATATCGACAATGATGCAGCCAAGGGCGAGGAAGAGGCGGAGGAGAACGAACCCGAGCAGGCGCAGCTTGGCTCCAACTCAGAGAAACAGGAGGCAGAGCAGCAGCTGGAGGAGGGGGAGAGGGAGGAAGAGACTGCAGATGAGCTCCAAAACGCCGATGAAGATGCCATCGAGGAGGAGGATGCCAACGAAGTGGTAGAGCAGGTCCTGGAGCTGGTTCGACCCGAGGCACGCGCCCGTCGACGTGGCAATCGTCGCGGAGGACGCCGCGGACGCCAGAACCGCAAACGTGGTGGCAATCGCCGTTGCGGTGGACGCGGTGGTCGTGGCGGTCGTGGCGGTCGTGGGGGACGTGGCAGACGGGGACAGCGCAAGCCCAACGTATCCAAGCGCAACGGGAACAAACAGCGAACGGGCAACAACAAGCGCCAGGGACAAAGGAAGGGACAGTCCAACAACAACAAAAACAGCAAACGCCAGGGAGTGAAGAAAGAGTCCACCAACAACAGCAACAACAAGCAGACTAGTGGCTCTACCAGCAGACATATAATACCGGTCTAAATTTTAGAGTAGTGTAAAACCAAAGTGTGCCAGCTTTCTCCCACTATAAAATAAACCCACAAAAAAAACACTTCAAACTGCATTCTTCATTCAAATTGGAGGGCATCAAAGCGAGGGTGTTCGCACTTCCCATCTTTTATAGTCCGTAGTATCGTTGTGGATTAGATATGATCCAAAAAATTTGATATTCACGGGATAGTGCAATCGTATCTTGGTTTGCTTTAGTTCGGCCGGACAATCTGCTTTTAGGACACAGCTCTTGAGATTGCCATTGATAATGTAACCCTCCTTGCACACACACGGTCCCCCGCACTCGACCGTACAGTGCTCGCTCAGAAATTCACAGGTCTCCGGACAGGGGCTGGGACACATGGCCATGGTGCCATTTACCGTGCAATCCACTTCCGATTCATCAGAAGGAATGACGAATGATCCAGCAACGGCGAACAGGTGGCACAACAGGCAAATGTATTTCCAATGCAAGTTTTTCATTTTGCCAGTTGTGGCTGTCGATATGGAAGTGACATTAATAGTTCGGGAAATTTGTTATGCCTTGCAGCATTACAAGTTCAATTAGTTCTACATATCGGTATATTTGTGGCATTTAAAAATCGTATAAAACCCCGAATCACTCGTGCCGAATGTGTCCCTTCGCTTATGGGCATATTTTAAAGCGAAAGGAACACGGTGAACACTGCAGTGCACCTCTGTTCCAGTTCATTTGTTTGCAAATTATCTTCTAGTTGTTTTATTTCTTGCTTATGATTATTTGTTGTTTGGCTTTTTGGTGGCTTAACGCTAACATAACAGAAGCAAACCCCTCCCCTCCCTTCCAACCATATCAGGCGGTTGATCTTCAAATATTTCAGTTTATATCCACTCTGGAATCCGCTTTATTGCAGCATACTTTTCGGGGCAAATGTTTTAGCGCCAGAGAAAGTTTTTATCGCATACACATACCCCACATATTTCAGTGTACATACATATGGATGTATGTATGTATGTGTGTGTGAAAGAGAATTCATGTGGCAGGTAGCACAACCACAAGTCATAAATTTCGCCTGCGATTCTCCTTTTGTTATAGCTTTTTTTTATGTCCTATGTGTGTGTGTGTGTGTGTGTGGATATATATCTGTGTGCATGCATGCATGACCCCATAAATTATGAAACGCTGCAATTTCGTTTAGCGGCTTTAGCACTGTTCGAAATTAGTTGTACGCCTCTTTTTTATACCAATTTAGTTTATAGTTTTTAGAGCTTGTTCCACATGAAATGCATGAAAATAATGTCTCGCCAAGTACAGTACGAAATATGGAGGACACTCAACTCCCACTTGCCCCTGTCGTGCCACCGGACTGTGACTCGGTTTCAGGTTGCATTCACTGGTGCCTTTCAATTTCAGTTTGTTTTCGTTTAAGCTCATCTTTTGCAATGGTGCTGGTGCTGGTGCTGGTGCTGCTGCCTTGGCCATTGAGTTCGTTTACCTGACATCCTCGTTCGTTTGTTTGAGGATGTTCCGGAGAATGCCAAAATTCCATAAATAATTAAACGAAAGCCCCAGCCTCAAGCTTCTTCTGCTGCAGCTCATCGCTCGGTGTAAAAAAGTCAGAAATTGAAGAGATATCCCTGCTGAGAACATCTGCGACTCTGGCTCGGGCTCTGGCTCTGCTCTGTTTATTCTGTCTACCTGTAGCCAATTTCGAGCTGCTCTTATCTGTCTGGGCTCTGCTGTTGGCATTTGGTCAGCCCTGTCTGTGGGTGGGGTGAGTGGGGTGCACAGGTAGCAAAAATTGGCACGACTGCTATGGTGAACGCAGATGGTGGGTGGATGGGTGAATGGGTGGATAGGTGCCTCCACCCGCCCCCCCCCTGTACAGACAGGCCTTCCACTGTTTTCAGTTCCTGTCCGGATGTCTGCCAGCCGCCTGCCACTGACGTTTGCCAAATCAAATAGAAATTTTAATTGACTCTCCTTGGCTCGTTCTCTCCTGCTCGCTACCGGTACGTGCCATCGCTATATATTCTCCCGTGTGCACCAGGTCTGGCCTTTGCGTTCGAGTTCAGGTTCAGTTCAGTGTCTGGTTCGTTCAGGGTTTTCTTAAATCTAATTTGATGGCTCCTCTCTTGTCGCATGGAATGTTTTTTATTTTTTTTTTTTCTGAGAGCAGCACGCGCCGGCTTACCTTGCAATACTTTAAAAATGTTTGCTTTAACTGTGCTCATCTTCAAATCACCCTGGAACAAGCTGTGCTGCTGCATAGGCCTCTAAACTTCCTACGTTTTGCCGCTCTCTCTCTCTCCCTCTGTTTGCTCTCTGCTTGTGTTTCGGCTCTGTTCCAAGCTCTGTTAAATCGTTTATTCCCTTACTCTTTCTCTGCTTCTGATCTACTGGATCGCTGCCCTAGCTATGCTTTGCCTCTGCGCTGTGCTTCTGTCTGCTTGACCTCTGCTCTGTTCTCTACTCCAAATTCGATCTATGCCCCATATGCATAGTAGGTGCTGCTCTGGCTCTGCCACTGCTTTGCATAAATGCCTGCCTCTGGCTGCAGCTCTCGCTCTGCCTTCGCCTGTGTTGCTGCTTGTTTTCCATCAAACACCAGAGAGAAGAGCTCAGAGAACATGGGAAGAGCAGCAGAGCAGCGAAAGCGGGTTAAGCGCCTTTTGGGCTCGAAGCAAAATTTGCATTTGTCGTCGCTGCCGTTGCCGCTGCTGCGATTTATGTGGGCGCACGCGGAAAATTGCCAGCAGCAGCAGTGGAAGCATCAGATTCAGAGAATATCCTTCACTTTACCTCTCTTGCCCCCATCCTGCGCTACCTCCGATGGAGTCCTTGTTGTTTGTCAACAACTTTGCCTGATTTTTCTTTTGCTTTTTGTATTTTTATTGTTGTTTGTTTTTGGGGTCAAAAAGATGCGTGTGCCTGTATGTGTGTGTATGTGTGAGTGTGTTTGCATATCTGTGTGTGCAACACTGTTTTTCACTTAATTAGCGCTCTGAATGACGCGCTGACAGTTGCCAGGAGTGTACGTGCCACAGCCGCGGGGTATGCAACGACATACAACAATGCCCTGTCATCATGGCAACTGCTATTGTTGTTGTTGTTGCTCCTGCCACTGCCATGACAGTTGTGGCATGTGCCCAGAGACGCCACAGATTGCGGCCAAAGTTTGAGGTTCAACTGGATAACAGAGTTCAGAATTGTGGGTCAGCTGCAATACGTATACATATACATACATACATACTTGAGGGTAACACTTCTACTTGGAATACTAACGATTCGGTAATAGATTTCCAATGAAATTGTCAAAACTTTCATCGATTACAGCCATGAAGTGCCATTAAGTGTTGCAAAACATGAAAAGGCATTCAAATTAATTGCCACCCACCACACACACACACACACACACGCAAAAAATGTTGCAAGAAATTTAACGATTGAGAATAAACCCACAGAGCACTTTGCCACATAAATTGAGTCCATGAATGTCGTAAACATTTTCACACATCTCTCTCAGGCCTCCTTCTCTGCTCCTCTGGTTGTACACTTTAACTCCTTTGCTCTCTCACCCTCTTTGTTTATCCTTTAAACCGGTTTTAATGATGCTCTGCGGAACATTTGCACCCCATCGCTAGAGAAGACATCCGAGTGTACGAGTATTCACCAAATCGTAAGACATTTTTTATGGTGGAATTTTAATGAGCGCAACATTCCCCTCCCCCCGCTTCTTTGCGAATCGATAAGATGAAAAACCGTTTCACAAAGGATGGTTCTTGTTCCATTTTTTTTTGTTTGCAACCAGTCCTGAATAAATTTCCTGCTGAAAATTCATTTTATAATAGCATTTTCCTGTCGCCGACACGCGAATCAAAATGAAACACAAACGGAAAAAAAGGTATCACAAAAAAAAAGGTGACAAAGCCAGTACAGATTTCCGCTCAACGATGGTCAACAAACAACAGCATTCCATGGCCGCCAGCATTCCATGGGGCAGGGGGCAGGCAGGAGGCGGAAGGCAAAAAGCCAGAGTTGCATCCGGTGGGGCAGCATCTGGATGTACATACAAATATGGCATTGGCTTCCGGTGGCATGACGATTTCCTTGCACTGTGGTCTCAATTTTCATCATCATTCATTTCATGGTGCGACTGAGAGAGTGAGATCCTTGCCCGCTCTCTCTCTTTTTGTGTGTGTTCCTTCTCCTACTTTCTCTCATTCGCTCTCCCTTTTTTTTTTGCCGCTTTCTGTATTATTTAATGCACTGATGTGCGCATAATGAGCGTGATTGACATAAATGAACTTTAAATGCACCAGGGAATCGCAGACTGAGTGGCACAAATGTTGAGCAGACAATGTTGTTGGTAGCCTGCTGGAGGAGCCGGCCCCCGTGGCACAACGGTTACTTGCCATGCCAAGGCCGTGTTTGCTGAGGGCTGGTGCTGGCATGTCCTTCCTGTAGCTTGGGGGCCCCCCACACACAGTCTCTTGTCCGGCTTTAGCCCACCCCGTTTTTTTTTTTCCGTTTTGAACATTGGACTTCGCTTTGCTTTGTCGGGCACTTTTGGGATTGTCCACTCCGCTTTATGTTGTCTCTCCATGGCAGTATGTTCCTCCAGGCACTTTAATCGAGTTTACTGCATGCTTTACACAAAGCAAAGGGCGGCGCAAGGCGTGGCCAGAACAACTAAAAGCCAAATCATCCGTTGGAACAAAAACACAAACAGAAACCAAAAATAAAGTTAAAATGGAAACATATGAAAGTTTTAGGAGTACATCCCCGGTTCTGGTACCGTGCAAAGGATATTCCTTGTATCCCAACAAATGTGGCATGCAACAGCAACTTTATAAGGAACTTATAAATTATATACTATATTGGGATATATTTAAAATATTTTAAATATTTTCTGCAAGAATCAAATATCCATGTCCATATTGCATTTATAAATATTCTTATTTAATTTGCATATAAATAAATCAGTAGATTATATTCCTCTTTATATGGAAAGGGGGCAAATAATCCCTCTGCTCCTCGGCCTTCCAAGAACCATAAAATTGAGATATTCCCTCCCACTCTTGCATTCGCTTGCTGCCATAAAAAGTTGCAGCATCATCAACGCCTCTCGAGGGGGTATTGCAGCAGGAAGGGTGGCCAAAAGTTTCCCTTTTTGCAGTCGAGTTGAAACTTTGTAGCAAATATTTAAAAGAGCTCGTCTTCTACACCCCTCCCCAACCACCTACACTCTAGCTCTCCCACTCTCGTTGCCTGTTTTTTTGACTTTAATGAGCCGCATCGGATGGCAAAAGGGGAAACGCGGAGGAGTAGAGTGCGCGCGAGAGAGAGAGAGAGGGAAAACCAATGCTATTTTTGAGGGCTAACTCCACTGAAACTTATTTCATAAAAGAGCTGGCGCACTTTTCCTATTTAATTTTAATAATCCTAATCAAGGAGATGCAAACGTAGTAGCAATGGAAAATTATACGGGTATTTTCGGCGTAGTCCCTCTTTTGTGTGGCACTTGATAGTCCTG